CATCAATGGTAGAGATCCAAAGGGGGTCATGGGGGTCTTCAAAAAATGGGGGTCTCAAGCATTTTTTGTTAATAATTATGGGGTCACTAGAAAAATTTTAATGCTATACATCAAAATCTTAATGGAAGAATTAAATATGCCAAGAGAAAGAATGCACGTGGCAGTTCTAGAGATAAACTACCTTTTCATCACCCCTACAGGTAAAGTACTGACACATTACAACTACTTAAATAGAAAGACTCAAAAGGCAAGTAATAACACGCTTTCTTGCATAAAGCTCACACAAGTTTTTGATAACCAGCACAAGTAAATTAGATCTCGGATGGTTATAAACAAAAATTCAATCTAACCTCATATGCCAATTTTTCCAATTTTGGTTTTAAATATACACATTTCCTACACCATCTTGCCATCCTACAAATCCAAGTAAATTCACATGACAACCCAGCTCAATTCAATATAAGAGGAATAATAATCCTACGAATAAAAAGCAAGGGAAAAAATTCCACAAAAAAATAAGTAGTAAAGAAACAAAACAAAAACTGAAAAAAAAAAAAAAACTGTCATCACATCATAGCATGACCTTTCCACCAACAATCAATGGAACTTTTGTCTCAAAATTTTTTACTGACCATACTTGTTATTCGTAGTTGACAATCAATAAAACTTTTGTCTCGTGGCATAACCTATCAACCCTGATTGTTATTTCATCAAATGTTCATATTTTATCTTTAAACCAGTAAAAGAGAAATCCATTGCGAAAAAAAGAAGAAGAAAAGAAGTGCCAGCATGTCAGGATTCTATTGATATTTCATCAAATTAAGAGGTAGTGCATATGACCACCGCCGAAACCTTAACCCTAGTTCTAGAAACCCTAACCCTCTTCTCATCATTGTCTTTTTTGTCATCTTCTTCTTCTTCTCCTGAAACCCTAACCTTAGATCTAGATATACCACTATCGCAAACCCACATCACTGCCCACTATCCATTGTTGTCCTTCTCTCATCTTTATTCCCTTTTTCTCATTCTTCTTCTTCCAAAACTTTAGATCGATCCACCATCATCGTCAAATCGCAACCCATTGCTGTTGTCATTACCTCTAACCTTTGCCATCAAATCGTGACCTACTGCCACCGCTCTCTGAAAACCCTAGATCTAGGGTTAGGGTTTTAGAAGAGGTAGAGAAAAAGAAGAAGGAAGGGGGAGAGAGAGAGAGAGAGTGAGAGAGAAATAAGAAAACGAGATGGGGACTAGGGAGGCGACCAGCGAGGATGGTCGTGATGGTGGGTGCCAATGATGGTGGAAGGAGAAAGAAAGTAAGTGGAGGCAGGTGGTAGGTGGTGGAGTCCAAAACAGTAATTTTCAAAGGGATATAAGTGTAATAAAAAAAGGGTAAATTACAAACACACCCCCTAAGGTTTACTTAAATTACAACAAAACTAACTATTTACGGCTTCAACTTTATGGCATTGTGACAACCCTCACCACTGTTTACTAATAACACCACTTATTACTGTTAAACTGAGACTGATCATGATAAGTAATTGAATTGACTGAAATACTGAACTGATTGATTGATTGTGCTAGTTTGAACGCAATTCTATCTATTGATTGTTAAATTATCTGTTCATGTTTTATGCTTTAAACTGCAAATTGAAGGCCTTATCGGCGACCGAATTTGAAATTGATTAGTGTTTTGTACTAATTAGAAATTATGTGATTTTTTGGCATATTTAAGTAAAATGTGATTTGGTATGATTAAATTAGATAAAATAAGGTTGAATTACATTAGTTACATTAATTACCTAATTGCCATGCTTAGTGGGCTGCTTTTTCCAACACTTTGAGCCTTGTTACACTTAATTCATACACCTTCCTCAGCCATTTTGAACACCAAACCGACTAGAGAGAGTGAGGAGTGAAAGAATAGAATTCATCAAGAATTGCTAGGAAAATTTGAAGGATTGAAGGATAATTTGCATACTTGAGCTCCCATTTCTTGCATTCAAGACCTAAGGTAGGACATTTACCTTCTTGTTTGTGAATTCAAGTTAATTGTTGCATGGTTCATGGTGAATAGGAGCTTAAGATCGTAAATTTGTTGTAGATTGTTGAATAGAGGCTTAATTAATGCATGCATGTGCATATCTTGAAGTTTAAAGTTGTTTTCATGGAAATTCTTGCATGCATGTCCATACTATTGTTATAGTCCATGAATTCATCTTGATTTTGAAGGAATTGGCTCTTTGGAGCAAGTATTTGAAGCCTTGAAGTTGTTTAAATCAATGCATGTTATATTTAATTAATGTTCTTGAAGCTTTGTTTGAAAATGTGCTTAATTGAATTACCTTTGGGCTTTGATTTCTCAAATTGATCTTTGAAACATGTAGTATTATGAGTTTACAAGTGTTTTCCATAAAATTAGCCCAAGAGGATCGAATTTGATATTGTAAAACTTGATTTTGAGCTTGAGGTTCGAATCTGGAAATTCCAAATTTTAAACTCACGTTCAAGTGGGGAACTCCACGCTCGAGCGTACATGCTGAGTTCATGCAGTCCGCTCAAGCGGGGAAAGTGACGCTCGAGCGGGAAATGCGTGTTCCAAGCACTTTGCATTGTTTTACAGTCCGCTCGAGCGGGGGAATGCACGCTCGAGAGGGGGTCGAGCACCCGTCGAGCGTGAATTTCGAGCATCCAGTACTTTTGCAGTCTGCTCGAGCGGGGGAAATGACGCTCGAGTGGGGCTCTTTTGTCTACATATTCGCTCGAGCGGGGAAACCCACGTTCGAGTGGGACCCTGTTTTCTGAAAATTTTGCTAAGTGTTTAAAAGTGCATCCTTGCATCCTCATTCCATGCTAGGTATTCCTAGGCCTAGTTTAAGGCATCTTAATGAGGATATTGTTGTAGAATCACACTGAGGCAAATTAGGGATTAAGTTATTATTTCCCAACTGTATAGTTTAGTGTGTGTTCGTTCTGTAACTGTGTAGGGTTGGCATCCGAGGACGCTCTAGCTTATCTGTAGCCCAGAACTCTGTGAGTAACAATGTTGTAAAGATACGTTCAATTAAAATTACTTTCTGAACGAATGACTGAACTGCTTTATGAAATATCACTGTTTACTGAATGAATGTTTGTCCTATTTGTGAACTGTATCCGTGGCATCCATAGCAACTTAGTGTTACTGTACTGTACTGTTACTGTCACAGAGATCTCTGTCGGTTCCCACGTTGGAACCACTACTGTTTACTAATATGATGGTCATCAACTGACTGTTTGGTCTGTTAAGACCTACTGTACTGCTTTGCTATTGGATGTACCACATTTGACTGCTATGACTGAATAACTGTTATACTGATATAAATGACTGTTTTAAATACTGAAAGGACATTCATTCTTAACCTCTTTACACATATGTTATTCACTGGGCTTTAGCTCACTGCTCATATATATATGTAGGTGTCCAAGCACCGGATCGGAGCTGGGTTTAACTCCCTTTTTGTCAAGTCAACCAACGTGCCACACTGCGAGGTTCCAAGTCCTTCAAGTTAGGGCTGTTTTGGGGTGTTTTAGTTTTCCCCCTTTTTGTATCTGTTTTTGTAATACTGTATAGACTGAATGATATCGTACTGTACTGTTATGGTAGGGAGGTGGACCCTAACCGTATATTTGTAAATGATGTATGTACATACTGTCTCTGTTCTGAATTTATATATATATTATGAAAAGTCTTTTTTCATATAGACTGTCACAGCTCATTGGACATCTTTTAATTACTATTTTGGCTTCTGCCAGCCCCTATACTCTGTATTACTGTATTATTGTTAAGCAGGCCTTCGGTAATCTCGGATTACTGGCCGGTTACAGTGCTAAACCCATAGGGGCGGGTTTGGGTCGTGACAAGCATACTTTAAATGCATGTCATAATTAGTACATTCTACGACATATTTTTTTTTTCTTTTGCAAGCCGTTAATGGTTTTTCAATAATGACATACATACCATGTAAGTCGTTAATTCATATATTTATGGCATACAAAAGTATGCTGTAAAAAATGTATATTTTCACGACTTAAAAAATATGTTATAAAATATTTGCACTTAAGACGACATATATTTTATGTTGTAAAATATTCTAACTTTACACGGCATGCATTATTAACATGTCGTGAAAACTTCTAAAAAAAAAAAAAATAAATTTAATCCGATTTTTTTATGGCATACAAAAGTATGCCGTAAAAAATGTATATTTTCACGACTTAAAAAATATGTTATAAAATATTTGCACTTAAGCACTTAAAATGACATACATTTCATTTCGTAAAATATTATAACTTTATACGGCATGCATTAGCATGTCGTGAAAACTTTTATTAAAAAAAATTTCAATCCGATTTTTTTTTTGGTTTGATTTAAAAAAACTAACAATTTCCAGCCAAGCTTCTCACCTTAAATTTTCTTAATTGAGGACAACATAAAAAATAATTTATACATTTTTTTATAATTTAGTGTCTTCTTTTAAGGGATAATTGAACCCCGTGAAATTTTGTTTATATATTCATGAAAAAGTTTATAATTTTAATTATTAATATTTATATTGCTTTTCACTAATTTGTAATTATTTTTTTTAAATTACCTTGATTTGATATTTTCCCTTCTTTTAATAATTTATTTATTTTTTTACTTTTTAGATGTACCTAATCTGGATATAGCTAAAAAGAAAAATATTTATAAAAAAATATAATACATATGAAATGTATTAAATTATATATATTTTTTAATTTACTGCTTTTTAAAAAAATTTAAAAAATATTTTCCTTCTAAATATATATATAAATTATTTGAATTTAAAAATAAAAAAAATTATTTAAAATATTTAGAAACTTACAATAACTAAAAAAAAAAAAAAAAAACTCAAAAACATTATTTTAAGCCCCGTTCACTACTCACTCTCCCTCCCGTTCTATCTATATATATTTTTGCCCCCAAACCCCCCCTCTCTCTCTCTCTCGGCGTGCGTGCTCTCGAGCAGTGCCTTGATCGATCGGGCCTTTGAGGTAGGTTTTGATCAAAAGTCAGATATTTTTCTTCTTATCTTTGGTTCTTCAAAGTTACAGTCAAATCTCTGTATATGCGTATATATTAGTCTCGATTGATCGATTTGTGATCGGTAGATCTGATGAGTTTTGAAACATATGATCGATTCTTTGCTGTGGAAATGAATTTTGGACTGTTTGAATATGATCGAATCAGGATGAATATGTGCTTATATGTTGTGTTTATTGATGGATTTGTTTGAAGTTCATCATCAAAGCTGGTTGTCAATTGGTCTGATTGTAAATTCAGCAAAAATGATCTCTGTTTTTGTAGTTTTTTTTCTTTTAATTTCTTCTTGAATTGTTACTTTTAATGCCTTCACGGTTTAGGTATGGATACACAATGGTGCACATCTGTTTAAGGTGTCTTTAGGAACTTTAACCAAATAACCACTTTTGTTTATTTCGCCGAGGTGCTACCCACCCTAACATTTTTTTTCCACCTCAGAATTTTTAAAGGCCAAGTGTTTGATGAATTGTGAAGTTTCATTTTTTGCTTTAATTTATTGGAAAGTTCTTTCGTGATTTTCATATTGTCTTTTAGATGGATTGGAGTGTTAAAAATGATCTGCTGGTAAAATTTCTTCTTGCATAAAACTCTGTTTTGGTCAAGTTGTTTGTAGTTCATTTGTTTTTGTTTTATTTTCTATTGTTTTTTTTCTTCTTCTTCTTCTTCTTCTTCTTCTTCTTCCTTCATTTTTTTTAACACCCAAGATCAAATCTGTATTGCAACTTTGTTTGTAGTTCATTCGTTTTTGTTTTATTTTCTATTGTCTTCTTCTTCTTCTTCTTCTTCTTCTTAGTCAATCATTTACACGTAAATTCAAAGTGGAAAAGTTCAGTATAGGAAAAACTGGGAAGTTTGAGAAGCAGTAATTTCTTTATATTTAACGTCTTTAAACTCTTATTTTCAAATATTTTTCTTGTATTTGCCTTTGGCACACTTTCTAAAGGCCAAGGATGATAAAGTTTTTGTCCCTTGCATTTTTCAAGTTGTTATTTCACTTCTATCAATTTAACAGCTATCCCGCATTGCCTATTTATATCTCTTTATGTTCATGCCCTTGTTCTTGGGTCTTTTTCTGCATTATTGTTTCTTTTTCTTTTTCTTTTTCCCAACTCTTTATGTTAAACTTCCACTCTTTGTTCCTTTATATGTTTTATTGCTAAATATAATTATCTTTTGGTTCTCACTGACATCATCATTGAAATTCCCATTTGTAACCTCTTTCGAATTCAATGAGATATTGAGATCCAACTAGCACTTAATGTTATCTCATTTCGCCTCAACATTGATTGTTGTTGAAATTCATTTTCGATTTTTGTTTCCTTTAAATCCATTGGGAGTTTATATTCTGCTTAGGACATCATTCTCCACACAACTTGTGGCTTGGAAAATGGAATTGCATTATTTTCTGCAGATGGCATTGATGCTTATTTGTCATTTCAATTTTTTTTGTCTGTCTTTGTTCTTCTAGTCCTGCCTTTTTATCCTCACTACAAGAGCATTTTAGTTTTAAATTACCTGCCTTGGTTATTTCCTCTCTGTAATTGATAATTCTAGATAGTTAGGAGTAGCACGCAGCTTTTGTTTAACTCATAGATAATAACATGGTTTGAAGTTGTTGGTGCATTTATTGCTGTCATGTTTGTGATCTAAATGTGTCATTATCTTCATTTAGGGCATTTTCCCATTAAATTTTGTTGGATAGAAGAGGGCATATTCTCGTATCTTCAAAGTATCTTGGCTTGACGTGCATGTCCCTTTTTAGGTGGCTCACTTTTTCTTTTTGATCGGAAGGTGTTGAGATACTTCGGAAAAGATGGCCATAACTAGAGGAAGAAGAAATATGGAAAGACAGTGAAGGAAGCTCACGAGAGGCTCAAGGTTTGTGTGAAAGGATGATGCTTGTTGAAGGCAATTTTTATTTTTTAAGTTGATTTTGTCTACACCATACAGAAGTTTGTGACTTTCAGGAATTTTGCACTATATGATATAATGAATAGTTCATGCTGTATATTTTTATTACACTTCCAAAGTAATTTGCTTGTATAATGTCCTTTCAGGCTGGGAGTGTTGATGTGCTGCATTGCTACTATGCCCATGGAGAAGAAAATGAAAATTTCCAAAGTCGAAGCTATTGGTTGCTTGAGGAGTGAGTGTCTAAAAGTTTGCCTCGCTTTTATCGAAGTTTGTGTTTATTTTGTCAAATCTTTGCACTTTGCTTTCTCTCTCTCTCTCTCTCTCTCTTTATATATATATATATATATATACATATATATAAATCTGTCTGTATTATGGACCACCTCTGGGCAATTGCTTTTAATATGAAGTTTATCTGTTAATTAGTATTAGCGTATAAAAGTTGATTGAATGTAAATGCCTATTTGCAGCTTCTTGTGCATGTACAGGCATAAGTCCAGTCCTCTGATACTATTTAGCATTGAATAAACATCAATTGCTGAGTACAATCTGGTTCGTTAGTTATATCTGCTGCTGGAACAGTTTTGCTGCTTTGGAAGTCCCATTACCTTTTTCTGTGAGGGAAAAAAGATAAAATATGGTTTAAAGTTTCACCCCTTTTCTTTGTCATACTAATCATTTTAATGTTTGGAATTACAGTCATGTCTATAGCTGTAAACTCATGTTAAACTTGTATGAACTTCCATGAAATTGACTACACCTTGAAAATTGAATCAATTTATGGAAGTTAATGAAAATCTGACCATTTTTGTTTCCTTAGTTGTTATTTTGGAAGGGCTTTTGCTGCACATTCTCATTTGCTTCTTATTTGGATGACACCTGCTGCAGGGAGCGCTCAAACATTGTTTGTGTACACTACCACGAAGTAAAGGTTAGAAATTTATTCTATTATTTCTTTGTTTCTTCATTATTGAAGAAATTCACAATTGCTAATTTGTATACCATATCAGATGATTCTTGAGCCAATATATATTATACATAATGCTGGCTATTTTAGAATAACATCGCTTTCTAACTTTCCCACCTCTTTTGTTTCAAGGTTTCTTGCGTATGTATGACTTCCACGTATTGGAATCTTGCTACAAAATATAATGCAAAAGCATGAAGTAAAAAAGGCATATTTTCATGGCATACAAAAATATGATGTAAAATATTTGCACTTAAGACGACATATAATTCATGTTGCGAAATATTATAACTTTACACGGCATGCCTTGGCATTTCATGAAAACTTTATTAAAAAAAATTTCAATCCAATTTTTTTTTTTCTTTTTTTTGATTTAAAAAAGCTAACAGTTTCCAACCAAGATTCTCACTTTAGATTTTCCTAATTGAGGACAACGTAAAAAATAATTTATACATTATTTTATAATTTAAGGTCTCTTTTAAGGGATAATTGCACCCAGTGGGATTTTGGGAAAAAAATTACATATTCATGAAAAAGTTTATAAATGATTAATATTTATATGGCTTCTCACTAATTTGTAATTATTATTATTTTTTTTAAATTACCTTGCTCTGATATTTTCCCTTCTTTTAATAATTTATTTATTTTTTACTTTTTAGATGTGCCTAATTTGAATACAACTAAAAAGTAAAATATTTGTAAAAAAAATATAATATATATGAAATGTATTAAATTTTATATTTTGTTGAATTGAGTGATTTCTTTTAAAAATAAAAAAATATTTTTCTTTTAAATATATGTAAATTATTTGAATTTAAAAAGTAAAAAAAATAATTATTTAAAATATTTAAAAACTTACAATAACTAAAAAAAAAAAAAAAAAACAAAAACATTATTTTATCCCAAACTCAAAAACATTATTTTAGCCCTGTTCACCACTCTCACAGACTCCTCTCATTCTATATGTACATGTTTTTGCCCCAAACCCTCCCTCTCTCTCTCTCTCTCTCTCTCTGCGTGTGAGCTCTCGAGCTCTCTTCCAGCATTGCCTTCATCGATCGCGCGACTTTGCATGACCTCACAATGTATGTCATTCACTTTCTCTCCCAATTGATCAATTTTTCTCTGTCTCTCGATCATTTTTTCCCAAAAGCTTCGAATTCATCATTTTATTTGAAGTTAGGGTTTGGTGAGAGCCATGGAAATGTAGACTACAAGGCCAAATGAATTCTCAATCAATTGATCTCAAACCCTAACTAATCTCTACACACTCCTCTGCATCAAACAATTCGACCTCTCTGCAATCTCCTCTCTGATCGCGGCTTCGTATTTTTTCTTGTGTGTGTTTACTGGATCAATTGAAGTTTGTATTGATAATTCAGTTTTTTCGGAGGTCTGGCAGATCACTAGACAAGTCGATTTCAATGCTTCAGATGGAGCTGGCTGCTACTCAAAGTTCTCAAGAGATGAGGAGATCTGATGAGTTCACTCACATCTCTGAATTGACTATGAGGGCTTGCCAAGGAAGAAGGCTTTCATAGTTATTGGAATTAATACTGCTTTTAGTAGTAGGAAGAGGCGTGATTCGATTAGACAAACTTGGATGCCTCAAGGTGATAATTTGATATTGTCTTTGTGTGTATGTCCTACTATATCTTCATTTCATGGCTTTCCTTGACTAGCTTTTTGGGTTTGATTAGGAGAGAGACTTCTTCAATTGGAACAAGAGAAGGGAATTATCATCCGGTTCATGATCGGCCATAGGTAAATCTCTTGCCTGCATTTTCTCACAAGTTGGTTAGTTTAGTATTATTTGAAAACAATAGGAATTTTTAATTTTATTTCAAGTTATAATTGTAATAAAAAAATTAAAATTGGGGGGGTTAAAAAAATAAAGATAGGTGTTAATAGTAACACTCTATTTTTAATCATTAAAAATATAAAATTATCATTTTTTTTTCCATTTCTACAAATTACCATCAAGTCCAATTAACTTTAAATTTGTAGGACAAAGTCCTATTGTTTGGTTTGGATTTTTAGTATTCACCTTTTAGAAAATTGAAATTTTTTATTTTTCGTATTTTTTTGGGATTTTTTTTAATATTCTAAACAATTTTTTTTTTTTTTAGATACACCTAATATAAATACACTTAAAGAGTATAATATTTGTGAAAAATAATCTTTAGGAAATTCACTAAATATCAAAAATACGAAAAATTCAGTATGTTTTCCGTATTTTGTGTATTTATTGAATTTTAAAAATATATTTTTACAAATATTTTACTTTTTAGATATATCTTAGTAAGGTGAATTAAAGTAAAAAAAAAAATTATTTAAAATATTTAAAAACTTACAAAAACTAAAAAAAAAAAAAAAAAAAACAAACTCAAAAACATTATTTTAGCCCTGTTCACCACTCTCACAAACTCCTCTTATTCTATCTGTACATGTTTTTGCCCCAAACCCTCTCTCTCTCTGCGTGTGAGCTCTCGAGCTCTCTTCCAGCATTGCCTTCATCGATCGCGCGACTTCGCATGACCTCACAATGTATGTCATTCACTTTCTCTCCCAATTGATCAATTTTTCTCTGTCTCTCGATCATTTTTTCCCAGAAGCTTCGAATTCATCATTTTATTTGAAGTTAGGGTTTGGTGAGAGCCATGGAAATGTAGACTACAAGCCAAATGCATTCTCAATCAATTGATCTCAAACCCTAACTGATCTCTACACGCTCCTCTGTATCGATTCAGTGAGTTTGAAACTCGTCATGCTTCGTATTTTTTCTTGTGTGTGTTTACTGGATCAATTGAAGTTTGTATTGATAATTCAGTTTTTTCGGAGGTCTGGTAGATCACTAGACAAGTCGATTTCAATGCTTCAGATGGAGCTGGCTGCTACTCGAAGTTCTCAAGAGATGAGGAGATCTGATGAGTTCACTCACATCTCTGAATTGACTATGAGGGCTTGCCAAGGAAGAAGGCTTTCATAGTTATTGGAATTAATACTGCTTTTAGTAGTAGGAAGAGGCGTGATTCGATTAGACAAACTTGGATGCCTCAAGGTGATAATTTGATATTGTCTTTGTGTGTATGTCCTACTATATCTTCATTTCATGGCTTTCCTTGACTAGCTTTTTGGGTTTGATTAGGAGAGAGACTTCTTCAATTGGGAACAAGAGAAGGGAATTATCATCCGGTTCATGATCGGCCATAGGTAAATCTCTTGTCTGCATTTTCTCACAAGTTGGTTAGTTTAGTATTATTTGAAAACAATAGGAATTCTTCGGCAATATGATCTCATTATTAATTTTTTGAAGTTGGTTCCATTGCTTTTCCTTGATATAGATTTGTCAAAAGTCAACTCCTGCTTGTGTAACAATAGACGTTGTTAAACAAATAACTGAATCATTATCACATGAATTGCCTTTAAAAATTAAAATAGAATATCCAGGAAGTTTTGAGATGTTCACTTGTTATGAGAATGAACAAGTTTGAGATTATTCTTTGTTTACTGTATTTCCATTCCATTGGTGGTCAACAACCATAGTCATAGCACAAGCACAAATAATCTTTTACCACATGCTGCAGGGTAATTTACTTTTATGTGCTGTGATGTTCTTTGATGAGACTAGAAAAAGACAAACTAATTTACCATGAAGATGTTTGTTTGTATATCTAAGAACTGCAGAACTATTTGGCCAATGAATCAATTGGTCAGGTGAACTAAATCTTAATTGATCTGCATTCCACGTTGGTGTTGGTGGACAAGTACAAGAAGCACTCTCCCATGGACTTTGATGTCAAATTTATGTAAAACTGCACTAGGAAGGAAACTTTGATTGCTGCTCCATATGGTTGAAATCACGGTTGGTTTGAATAAGTTGAACTTGTAGTTCTAGGATTGAAGAAGGTTAGGGAAAGTTTGGAGGTTTTTGTAGACAGAAACGAGTTGGAATTAACTTGATTTTTAGAATTATAAGCTGTAGAAACTTAAAGTGTAATAAAATTTATAGGCAGCAATTATTTTGTCGTATGTAGATGCTGTAAATTATAGTCCATGAAAATTAATTAAAACATACTTGACCAAACAAGGTTCCAAGGGTTGCTTTGTTTAAAATTCTAAGGTTGTCTCCTCTCTGCTGATTGTGTTCCGCATCTGTTTCTTAACTGGTATGTAGATGCTGTAAATTATTGTCTTAGGAGCCTTAGCATAATCATGTGTAAGAAGACAGTAGGTGAAGAGGATTTTCTCAAGGGTATGAGGTGGACAGTTAAAGTTTGATTTTGCACCTTAAGGGAGGATATTCCCCTGGATTTTAGGTGGATAGTTAAAGTTTGATTTTCACCTCAAGTGCTTTAATAATGATAAAAGCAGCAAATTTAAAGAGAATTTATACTTGCCATTATGTTGAATAGTGACAAAATGACCTAAATGCCATAGAGCAAATGTTGGAAAGCCAAGAAACATTGGTGTTAGATGAGATGTAATGAAATGAGTTGTAGCCGAAAGAGAATAAAAAATGGAAAAGAGTGAAAGGGATTTATGAGGATATTTGATTGAATGAGCATAAAAAATTGGAAAGACTAGAATCAACATGGGTACTTCTATAAAAATATTGGAGTAGCTTAATGGGTGATACATTGATTGAAATAATTCATGCATGATCATGCCCTATAGGAACTTTGATTATTGAACATGATTGATCATGTGACTTTCTAAGTAACTGCTACGAGAAAAGGACACAGTTGGGACCAATATATTCTTTTTAGACAATGAAAGCTTCAATGTGTGAATAATAGACTACTATTGTCTTACTACCATGCTTTAAATAATGTTATTAGATCTTTTATAGAGTCGTTATTAGTTCTAAAATATTTTAGTTGGTTAAAAATTTTTAATTTCCAAATTTTGAAGTCTTTGTTTTTTTGTAGAATTTGGAGAATGTAGCATCCAATGGATTTGCAGATAATCTTCAGTTTTTAGTGGAGAGTTGAGTTATGAGGATTTGAGGTTGTGGTTGTATGAATTTCCTAAACCTTGTGACGAGGGCGAGACACTTCTTCCCCCTGTGTCTGAATTACCCCAATTACTATTTGAGGGTTATTGTTCATAATGCCCTCAAATTGCACATTTTAGCCCCAAAAGCCTACCAAACTAAGTTTAAATTAACCTTAACCCTTTCTCCTATGTATTGATTTTCAATCTAACCATTAATACCCAAAAATTATTTGTTTTCTAGATTTCAAACAGTCTAATTCATTTGAGAAATATAGGTCTTTTTAATTTGGGGTTAGAAAAAGCAGGTCCTAACTCAAACCAACGCAGATCCATTCGAATAGTATAATATTACTAAATGGAAGATACATACCTTTTGCTCTTGCTACAATATATTTGCATCATATAGGGCACCTGTGTGTATAATTGAGAATTATGCTGAATGCCAATTGTTTTGATTGGTGTAGTGCAACATCTAACAGCATACTAGATCGAGCTATTGATTCAGAAGATTCTTAGCATAAGGACTTCCTCAGGCTGGTAAGGATGCACAGAGCTTGTATGTACAAAAAATATTGTGGACAATTCACAAATTTTTTTCTCAATCTTGGTGCTCATGAGTCATGTTGTCTTGTAGGAGCACGTTGAAGGGTATCATGAATTGTCTACAAAAATCAAAATTTTCTTCTCCACTGCTGTTGCAAAATGGGATGCTGATTTCTATGTTAAAGTGGATGATGATGGTATACATTGTCTTTTTTCATTTTCTTTTCTTGTTATATTCTTTCTTCATTTTTTCCCCAATTTTGGGTAGCTTTTGTCAATTTTGAATTTGCTGAGTGATGCAGAGTGCATAAAACTGTTATGACCCTACCACTATTATATATTTTCCAAAAAAAAATTCATGAGTTTGCAAGCTTTGAAGAAGAGATTTCCTCTTAAGATGGATTTATTTTTCTGCAGGTTATTGAGTTTGCCATGGCTTTGCAGGAAGCTGGGTGCTTTTTTGTTGTTTTGGAATGTGTGCTTGCACTTGTTGCTGCTGCTGCAACATTTGCTCTTCGAATCCTTACAATTGGTATTGGGGTAGGGCCTTTCTGTATTGGCCAAGTTAATTGATTCTTTAGCTCTCTCTACTGCTCCTAATAATGAATTAGACTTGACTGGCTTGTGTTGTGTATAATCTTTTTGCTTTCATTTGTACATATAATTTGCTATCTGATCTTGTAATTTGTTTTTCAAGTACTAAAGCGGGCATTTTAGTGATATTATGTGTTCAGATATTGAGTTTACTCATGTAATGAACTTTGAATTTGCTTTTCTTCTCTCTCTCTCTCTCTCTCTCTCTCTATATATATATATATATATTAAAAATAACCTTTTACGACATACAAAATTATGCTGTGAAAAGTGTAATAATTTATGACATGCAAGAAAATGTTGTAAAAGATTATATATGGCATACAGAGTATGCTAGAAATATACTAAAAATAACCTTTTACATCATACAAAATTATGTCGTGAAAAGTGTAATGATTTATGACATGCAATAAAATGTCGTAAAAGATTATATACAGCATACATAGTATGCCATAAATATATTAAAACTAATCTTCTACGGCATGTAAAATTATGTCATGAAAAGTATGATGATTTATGGCATGACAAAAATGTCGTAAAAAATTATATACGACATACAAAGTATGTCATTAATGTTTAATTTATTACTTTTTACAACTTTACTTGCATACCGTAAATGACACTCAACTTTTCACGGCATGTCATATAACAACATTTGTGTGCATGCTGTGAAAGAGTTTTTACGGCATGCATTGCAAGCCGTAAAAATTCAATTTTGTTGTAGTGCAAACAACCTTTTTCCTTAATTTTTCCATCCTCTCCACCAATCACTCAGTGACTTAATTGAGATAGGAGCCACCCATGACAAACCCCATCATCTTAGGATAGATGCCCAAACTTTCCAAACAGCATGGCAATCAATTAGGGGACGGTTTGATGTTTTAGGCTTATCATTACAGAAAAGACATAACCCAGAATTAGAAGCTATAGAGACACCAATCCTTAGGAGCCATTAACTCTTCAAAGCCAAGCTAGCCATCCAAAATATTGGACTTTAAAGAGAGAAACACTTGACCACCATTCAATTCAGCTAGGGAATAAAGGGATCGAACTGAAAATTTTCCTAAGGGTTCTGCCATCTAGCGCGTCAAGTCCTTTTTTTTTTAATTATCGGTTGAGAGAAGTTGGATAGAAGGCTATAAAAGACACCATCTTTTTCTTTTTTTGCTCGTTCAAAGACACCATTTTTTTTTCTTTTTTTTTTTTTG